TTAAGGCATGATTTATAGTAATATTTGACTTAAAAATGAAGCCATTAATGAGTATTTAATTAGAAAAGTAACATTTATTTCAGCTCAGAATTTTTAATACATTGTTGTTTCAATGTTAATCTTTCATATTATTTTAAAAGTTTTACATTTTATCATGACATGAAGTCTGGGGATCTGGTCTTGATCTTGAATCAGTCTTTTCCTCCCTCTGCGTTTGTCTCTGGAGTTGGTCTTGATCAACAAAAGTGTTGATTTTAATTTGGTCTCGCTTTAGGTGGTCTTGACTAAGACACTGGTAAATGGAAGATTTCAACAACGAGGAATAAATAACCAACTGTTTAAATAGTTGGAGAGTGAGGAGAGGACAAAAGAAGAAGGAGGTGAGGGCAATCAGTTGATAAATGAGCAACAGCTGAGGAGAATTAAGCCTTTAACTGATGGAAGGGGGAGACAATGTTGAGCAGGGGAAGAATTGGAGGAACGAGGGGAAGAAATCTAACAGAATATGATACAAAATTATGTAATTGTAATTTTGTAGTTATAATGAGAATAAGGAAATTAACTCATATGATAAACTGTAAATGGAAACATTTACTTTGGCCAAAACTATTGAAAATAATAAACAAGGAAAATTATGAAAATCATGAAAATTCAATGAAAACCATAACTTGAAGCTAAGATAACAAAATGTTACTAAATAAATGCCTGAAATGCATATCATAACATGTCCAGTTGCAAATGAGCATGTCAAATAATTGTATTGAAATGGGATCTGCTGCAACTTAACTCATTCATAATCACAAATTAATTGCAGACATTTTTTTAACAGACTCAGTTTACCTTTTTTGAATATTAATATTTGTAATATTACTATTCCAGCGGTCAAATATACCTCTTATATTCATATGTGGGCTTATTGTGATTGCAGCAATTAAGGCTACATGAAAAATATAATAAATGGGCCTTTACTGAAAAAATGCTGTAGATAATTTAATGCATATTCCTTCATCCACAATAACTGTTTACCTTTCATGGAGGAAAATTAAGAAGGACAGAAGATTTTAAGAGTGATTGAAAGCAAATAATTTAGGGAATGCAGCAAAATAACTAAGACTCATTCTATAAAGCGCTTTTAAGATAAGACTTGCAAACTCTTAAAAACATTAAAAAGGTCAGACTTTGTAGAAAACTGATCCATGTGGTTGTGACAAGTTTTGTTTTCCTGAGAAAGATTCATTAAGAGGATTTAATTAGAGCAAAAAATTCCTCAAACTCTGAAGTACCTCTACAAATTGAAATTGACAACCTAAAACAATGCTGTTTAAAGCAAGTAATTTTTATTATCTTCTGGACACTTTATCAATTCTAAAGTGCAGACAAGGTCCAAATTGTATGAAAGAATGCAAGTTAATCTTTTAATAACATTAATTATTGGTATTAAAATAGTGTATTTATGTGTTTACTTTGGCAGTGCTAGTAGTGTTTTTCTTTTTTCAACATTAGCAAGCCATTTTCAATACATAGACATTTTGTGCCCCTTTTCTATCTCCCACACCTCATTCTTGGTGCTTCTCCCAAACACAAGTGTGTGATTTAACAGAACAGACCAATGGCAGTTGGTAGACCATTTTATTTTTGAGCAAAGATTTTTGTTTTGTGTTGTATATGTCCAGCATGGGGTATGTTTAATAAAAGTGACTTGTTATAGTCACTAGTTACTTCTCCAAAAAAGTAACTGAGTTATTAACTTATGAAAATAATGACTTACTACTCAAAGTGAATATGTTTTTACTTTTTATGATCTAAAATATTGAAGAAGTTGCCTAACTTTTCTGTTATTAGAAATTTTAATAAAACTAGAAGTTTAAGTATGATATAGGTGTGTTAGGGCAAGATTCAGCTGCACACTTGCACCTCAAGAAAAAGGACACACCTTTGAAGACCAAAGTGTTCAGATTTTGGACAGAGGGGATGTTTAAAAAGAGGGTCACGGAAGCCATCCTTGTGAAAAGAAAAAGCCATAAGCACTTCCATTATGATCAAAAAGACCAATCATACAGGACATACACAACAAAAGGCTCCAACGATCCAGAAGAACAATGTTTGCCTATTTGATTTGCATCTGACTTGGAATGTGTACAGGAAGATACAGGAGGACAAAGATTCCTGGATAGGTGTCAAAACATCTTCAAAAACCGTTTTATTTAGCAGTTGTATAATGCGTTTTTTATAAAACCTTTACGTATTTTTTACTCTGACTTGTTTATGCATGTTTTTACATTTAAACGCACCATTTTTTTTTTCTTTTCTGTGATTTCTGAGCAGACTGAAAGCTAGTTGAGGCAGAGATTGCTCCACTGATATTTTCTGTCACTGAATAAATTTCCCAGTGCAGCCTGTATCAGCCACACTGTTTGGTAGTTTTAGACTAAAAGGCACATGCAGGGACATAGAAAGCGAGTCCATCATACAGAAGCAAAGGCGTAGAGGGACGCAAAGACCAATGAGTGGAAAGAAAATGGATGAAAGAGACCATCAGAGGATTGAAAAAAAAATGGAAAACTTAGCATGATGTCTGAGTGGTTTTCAGTTTGTACACGTCTCATTTCTGTTGTAACTGTCAGAGAGGAAAAGGCTGCAGAGCTGTGGATGTGATGTGAGGAAGAATGAAAACTTAATAAGGAAATGGGAAAGACGTGGAAAAGAACTTATGAGTTGTTCCCAAAAGCTGACTCTATAATCTCTTCAAAGGCACATTGTATGCTCAGCATATTATATGTAAGCAGCAGGAGCACCTGAGCATGAAATACAATAACCGATGGAGTTGCTGGAAATATGCAAACAGGACTTTTTGTGCAGGTCTCCACCAGTGGCAAACATTGTGCAGTTGACCTTTGCGCTTTTCTGCTGCTTTAAATTCAAAGCTGTTTCTGTCCAACTCTTTAGCTGCCAGTCTCATGTTTTTCTACTGCTTTTCCAGCGCTATCTATTACTTTTCTTTATCATAGGCTGAGGAAGATGGAGATAATAAAGAAAACCCTTTACATCTGCCTTACATCCTTACATTTAGGATAAAAATATGAAACATAATGCATAAAACCCAACGAAATTTGTGAGAAAACTGCTTTAGGTAAAGTCTTTCAAGACAAAAAGTGACTAATGAGTCTGTGTCTTGTTAAAGGTTTTGTGAAGAATAATTTTGATGACTTTGAATTATAATTATACTTCTGATTAAAACTTCTGTCTCCTTGAACCCCAGTCGGCCTTGGCAGATGGCCACTCACCCTGGGCCTTGTTTTGCTGGAGGTTTCTTTCTGTTAAAATGGAGTTTTTCCTCCCCACTGTCGCTACAAGCATGTTTGGTGTGAGGGATTGCTGAAGAGTCAATGAGGCAATGCAATCAACTGGTTTTCCTCAGATAAAAAACTTTGAATCAATCTGACTGTATGATCTGGTTGAATTGTCTCTTTAAAGTGCCTTGGAATGACATGTGTTGGGAATTGGCGCTATATAAATAAATATAATTGAATTGAAATATACCCACTCATATCATAGCGGTATAAGGTGTAATTATTCATGTTTTATTTGTTTTCTCCTTCAAATACTTCTACAATTAAAATGGAGAATAATTTAAAATCTATTTAGCTATGTTATGGAATATTGATGTACAGTATGTTATAAAGTTAAATAAACTACAGTTGGTAAGGGATGTTGCAAAGCGGTGAGAATGCAAAGCTACCGCAGCATGTAGAGACACATTGTCGGATAATGTAGCAGTCTGTAACCAAACACTTAGAATAACTTTTCAAACACCCGGTATTACATAACCATAATCAGATAAAATCCATGCTGTAATACTGATTTTTACTGCCGTCATGTGAGGAAGTGTAGCTTTTATGAATACCTAATGCATTTATGATTTAAAGTTCTTGGTCCATTCTGCAACTGTGTTAAGTAGAATGAGACCTAGCGCTGATCTCTGTAACCATTTCTCTGCCTGAACTAGAATAAAGAGTTAAAGTTAGTTCCATCTTGGGAGTCATTGCTTCAGAGGATGTGGTTTTGGCGCTGATGTACAAGAGCTGGAAAGAGATGTACTGGCGTCTGACTGCACACATATAATCTACTCCCTTCAAACAGTTAAAATAGTCTTGTATGGATCCCAGATTTATAATTGTATATTGTTGCCAAAAAAAGAATGTTTCTCCAATCAAAAAAAAAAAACACACAACATTTAAAATACGAAGGGTCTGTCAACTTTGAATTTTTTTTTTTTTACACAAAATGTTTTATCTTGGCATATATGACACCTTGTCCTATCTTGTTTGTCATACCTTTAATACTTTTTAACATTATGTTCACTACAACTGCAAATGATGATGAATAGGTCAATTTTGTAGCTATTTCTTTTTATTGATGGCATGTTTTCTTGTCTTTTCCAGGTTTTAACCTATGTAAGACAAATTGGCATCTTTGTATACATACACCCAAAAGTATTTAAAGTTCACTGACACTCTGGTTAACTTAAAAAAAAAAGAAAAGTATAAATTACAAATAAAATTATTCAGTACATTCTATATAGACAATGGTAAATGTATCCATACATATGCCAGATAGAAATGTAGCTGTTTCTCCTTTTTTAAAGGCTAATTTCATTTTATACATTTTCATTTTAGGACCACTTGCACATTTTAATAGGTTTTAATTAATTTTTAATAATGCTAATTAGAAAAAAATTCCTTCCTCTAAATAAAGCTCTCAGGATCTAACATTGCTATGCCCTAGTATAAGTATTAATGCTAACCTTAGAAATTCAGAAAGTCAAAGTTTATTTTACCTATTTTTGTCTCAACTTTATTTATATGTCAGGCCTTCCCTCAAATTCCCTTGTTGTAGTTCTCATTCTAGCATTTTTATTCTGACTCCCTTTTGTTCTTCCTTTCTCAGCTCATCCCTTTTCTATTCTTACATTTAACATGCAAACCCTGTCTGTCTTTCAGAGTGAGAACCTACCCAAAGGATTCTGCCCTGCTTGGCAGGGACACAGTTCGGGCCCTCATGTACTATGCTTTGAAGGTCTGGAGCGATATTGCGCCTCTAAATTTCCACGAGGTGGCCGGCAACAACGCAGACATTCAGATAGACTTCACTAAAGCCGACCACAATGATGGCTACCCCTTTGACGGGCCTGGTGGAACGGTGGCACATGCCTTTTTCCCTGGAGAGAGGTTCACAGCTGGGGATACACACTTTGATGATGATGAACCATGGACCTTCAGATCACCAGGTGAGGAAGAGTTTAATGTTAAGGTAAACTGGAACAACTATGGGAATGTAATGCTTTTTAAAGTGTACAGTATCTAATAGCAGAAACAGCAACAAAAATAATTAGATTTACAGCCCCAAAATACACTGTAGGTCCTGAGAAAAGTAAATAAAGTAAAAGTAAATTAAAGTTTGTGTAATTACTCCATAAGAAAAAAAAAACTGAACATTCAACCTGCTCAGTTTTGCATCCTGTTTAATATCAGCTCTGGTTTACAAGATAAAACAATAATCTATAACAATAAAAGCTTAGTTGTTATATGTTTCCATTTGTTTGTATATTGTATTTCTCCCTCTAAATGTGGACACATTTTTGGAAGTAAAATGTTTGAATTGCAATGCAGATCCTTAAAGTTTGTTGCCTTGTTATGTGCATAATAGGGCATGAATATGAATATTGATGATTGTCTTTGAATCCAAGAAATTTGCTGAACTGTGTTGATTTACACTTCAGTTCTCATGTGCATAAATATGTTTGTTGAATATTTGTAAACAAAAAAGATCCCACTTTAAACAATAGCTTAAGCTTCAGGAAAAATATGTGGTTTGTAAAGAAGAAGTTGGAGGAAGTAGATTATATACACAAGTCTATCTGCACAGTTTGTGCCTTTCTATTACCTTTTTTTATTTGGAGATATCCATTGTTAGGAGAAAAGTGACAACAGGAATCATATACATTTAAGAAATAAGAATAAAAGTAATGTGCAATGTACAATAGTACCAATTGTACATCAAAAGCAAAATGCATAGATGAAAATTAGCACTGGCAGATTCAAATGTGGACTTGATTAAGTGTATTTTGAAAGAATTTACAAACTCTTTTTTTTACATATAAGCAAAGGAACAAAATGCAAAAATAAGGAAAAGTTTGTAAATAAGAACAGGTATGTTAAGGTTTTATGTTTTCTCAGAGCAGTGAGGGTTATAGAGTCTTACGGCTTAAAAATGCCAATGCTTGTCTTCGTGCAAGCTCCATACATGCTGTTCCCAAAATTGGCACTTGCACACCAGGCCAAAAGGAAATAATGTTGCCCTACCTCACATGACTTCACATTTATCACAGGATGCTGTGCACAAAACAACACTGCAGATTATGAATTTGCCTTTACAGTAAGTTGGAGGTGGCAGACAAAGTAATACATCTGCAAGGTTTCAGGCAAAAGAAAAGGTTTCAGGCAAAAGAAAACCCTTTTTTTTTTTTTTACCTAACTCTTCCATCTGAATTAAAAGATTCTGATTAAAACAAAACAAAAAAATCCAATATGGCTAAATTACAGGCAATGTGCTCAATATAAGGTCAGTTTTCATGTTTACTTCTAATTGATCAATGGAATTGAGAAAAAACATCTCCTAAAGTCATGTTTTCATACTGCAAACATCAGCTCTTTCCTATTAAGGAAAACTTTCCTTTTTTTCTAAATATATAATTCACCAATGACTTTTGATCAAAAATATATTGTCACAATAATGCTACTCTGGAGTATAGGAGAATCAAGCTCTGAATTGTTAACACAGTTACTTCATTAGTGTTCTAGATTAAATTTGGAACTGTTGATTATTCATGGTTTAGATAAAACAAGGTGATTTGAAACAGTACAAGAGATTTTGATCCTTTGGGGGGGGGAGTGTTGGCCTGGTGGTTAGAGCAGTGCGCTTTTTTAAATACATGTATTAGGAAGCTTAGTGTAGTCTCAAGAATTACAACGTTATGCAAATGTTTGCTAAGTTCTCACTAGATCTTGTTAAACAATAGATACAGAACTTTACATTGATTGGATAGTAAATTTTACTTGGAGGTAGGAATTAAATATTGTAAAAAGTTAAAAACTTTTTATAAAAACACATCAAGTCCAAAACATTTAATGGAATCACAGCAAACAATAGAGTTAGCTGTTTAATTTTCTAATATAAAAATCTGCTGTTTGCAATGTGAGGTTATATTTTTAATATTCAAAATATGAAAAAGATCAAGCACCCTGCAAGCTTCATAATATGTGAGATAGACGAAGAGAGAAACGGAGATAAAGATTGACGGATGATTTATTTGTCTTGTAATGATTTTCCTGTCTCTCCCTTTGCAACAACAAACGCAAAATGTTTTCATCAGTCTTGTTTCAAACACCTCTTTGTCAAGCTACAATAAACTAACATTTCAAAACATTACAGACTTCCATCACTTCTAATTAATTTTGATTATCGAATGCATTTTACTTTATTGGCAGGTTAAGTAAAGCTGTAATAAACAGAGGCTGCAATAATGCCAATGATAGATGCTCATTTTGTGTTTTTCAGCTTTGAATGTGTTGGTTGTTAAATTGCTTTGGCCTCCTGAATGATCTGGCCTAATTTGTCTCATCAAAGTGTTTTGAAAGAGCTTTATTACCCGCCGTGAGAGATTTGCGAGTTTGAAATGAGAACGTAGTGACAGCTTCTCTAAAATAGAATTCAATCAGATCTGCCAATCAAAAATAGATGAGTTTATATTAAAGATATCCGTCATTCTTAGACAGTTCTGGAAAACACAGTAATCTGTGGTCTCTGTGCCACTTATGATGACTGATTTATTATTCATTTGTTAACTCATTAACAATACTAGTGGGAATATGTTCCATCCTATAGACTTTTGGATTTCTTTGCTTTTTTTGCACTTTTGCAAAACGAATCGGGTTTTGCTTTCCTCCAAAAAAGAGAGCTGGTTACACAATGGGACCGTTTCCTTGTCACTAAGCATCAACCTCATTTTCTGTCCACTGTCCTTTTTCTCTAAGCTGAAAAGGGACTGGAAAATGGTAAAAGGTGGGGCAACATTATGAGTCCAATCATCCGGATGAAATGGCCGGATGGAGTGATGTAGTCTACTGAATGCATCACCAGGAAGAGACTGTCTCCATACAGCAACACAATTGACAGCTTTAATCATTAGTTCTCTTCCTTTTTTATTCCTCCTTTCATCCAGATCACTGAACTTAAATTGACCCTCCATTTTTGCGTCCATTGCCCCTTTTGTCTGTTCTTTACAAAAGGAGGATGTACAACAGAGTATAAGAGAAAAAAAGGCAGAGACAGAACATTTTGCAGTGCTCCTAGATAAGAATAAAAATATAGAGAATAAACAACTAAAATGTAAAATTTGTCCACACGTGAACATAAAAATATAGAAATTCATGACGTTTGTATAAATTAAACTTTTAAAAGCATTTTCACTTTAGATGTGTTTTACAGTGAAGTAGTAACCACATATTCAGTTTTCTCGGATGCACATATACAGTTAGAATCCTTTTTCGGTTTAAGTTACATATAAAAGCAACATTAAAGAGATCATAGAATGCAAAACCGAGTTTACCTTGTCGTAGATGAATAACGAAACTTAAAGGGGTGAAATAGATGTACAGAGAAGTTCAAACCCATCGACACCTCCTTTCTCTACAAATGTCACAATTCTAAACTTCCACCATAAAATGGGCAAATTCAAACGAAGCACTGAATTGACGTCAATACGGGGATGTTGCCTTATTTGGTTCTGGCCTGTACTTTTGTCACGCAACGAAATTGACATACAGTAAATGCAGTGTTACAGGCTGCGCGGAGAAAGGGAAAAAAATGTCACAGTCTTCCCAAGGATCCGAAGACTCTACAGTCATGGATTATTTTTGTCTATCAGAAGATCCCTGCAAAGTTTGATGCTCAACTGTTCATTTGATCTAAGCATTTTACCGAAGACAGTTTTCAAAATAACAACAGTTCAAAGCAGGATTTGCTAAACTTCTTTTACTGAAACAAGGGGCTGTTACGACAGTAAGGCCATCACAACCGCAAGTGGTAAGTATGATTCTGTCACCAAGCTGTTGATAACTTATCCAGATTTGGGTTTCTGTAAAGGAGAACAAGGGCTGGTCCGGGAACCCCGGCGGCCGGGGACGGAGTGACTGAACTCGACCTGGTGACGGCATGCTTCCCTCCACTTGCCTTACCATGCTTGGGTAAGGCACCACCGGTGTCCAGGCTACCATCACCGGGTCGGGTTCAGTTGATTTTGACATTCCCCACGGACATTTTTTTGGGTATGAAAAGTAGGACATGTCCGGGAAAAAGAGGACATCTGGTATCCCTACAATAGCAACAATTTGATGTTTCAGTGAGTAAGTGCTTGTTGCTATGATGCGTCTCTGCTCAGCAGTTGCTCACTTACCAACCAATCAGCGCACAGCTCATCTAAATATTCATGATCATACCATAAAAGGAAGAACACCTGTCGTTTCATTCTGGGGCTTTTAACCAGGCTTGCATTAGGGCTCCTAGAACAGCAAATATGCCATTTTCAGCCCAACCAATGTTACACACCCTATTCAGAGACCTTAAGGACCAGCATCAAATACCCTATAGAATCATTCTATGGCCCCTTTAAGTAATAGAAGTGAACAGTTTTAGGCAACGAGTTGTTACAATGGGATTAGTTGTGATAGATCCAAAGATCCAAACTTTATTTAGAAACTCTTGCTTCTTAAATTGCAAGCAGGCATTTTGTTTTCTGAGAGAGCTCCCGAAATTCAACTGGAGATAAGTTATGATGTTGATTCTCCTAAGATGGGAAAGTTCATTACATTTCTAAAAGGCAGACTGATTAAATTTTATCTTAATTATGTCTGTTATCAATGTTTGTATTTAAACAGGGTGAGGGCAATGATAATTGTTCCCACAGTTCCGCCTAACTAACATCTATTAATAAGATGACTACACTTTTCTATATTAAAGATTTTGTATTTTTCATAAAATATAAAAAGAATACTTTACCCATGATAGGAATTCAGGAGGACAGGAAACGGATAAAGTAGTGCTTCTCTTTGAGCCTTGCAAAACCAAAGAAGGACATAAAGCAAAGTTTGTCACACTCCTCGAAAAAGAAAAAAAGAACTCCGGGAGGACAAAAAACATACAGTGAAATAGTGATTTCCACAAAAAAAA